AGCTTTTATCGTTGCAATGGTCCTGGCAAAATGTTTTCATGTGTCTATTGTTTACATTTTGTGGAGCCAATAATTAAGTTAAAACCCAGCGTTGAAGTTTTATAACTTTTACCAACTCACATGTACTGTAGTATAGATTTATCAAGCTACATTATATTGATAATTATAACACTTTGGTATAAGCTTAAGGATAACTATGATATAATTGGTGTAAGATTATTTGAATTGAAAGCGAAATCTCCAAATTATTTAGTAACAGTTTTAACGATTTGTAATGATTAATTTAACTTAATCGAATTAATGAATCAAAGATAAAAAATTTTCGCCCCTAACTCAGCTGATCAATTTATACAATTATAAGAAAGTACATAGTAAATTTAATAAAACTCCAACAAGTGTGATTATTCATCTCAAAACACTAGTTGATACTCATGACATTAAAAAATATTGTTCGTAATTAACTATTAAGTATATATCTGATCAATCATAATAAACACTAATTCTTTCCTTAATCATAGTAATGTCCATTGGCAATAAATCTAATCATATATTCATCAATGTGACCATAATTATCATCATCATCAAATTCATCACCTGCAATACCAACTTTATTATCATTAGTAACACCAGGTGTCCCATTTTTAGAATTAGCTTGTGTTGATTTATCTTCATCAAATTCTTCATTATCTAAATCTGCTTCTTTCATAGCTTCTTTAGCTGCTGCTGCATCTGCATCATCTTCAGCTTGTGCCAATACATTACCAATTTTAGTGGAATCACCAAATAATGGTTTTTCATCAAGTAAATTATCACCATCACCAATTTCTTCACCAACTAAATCTTTAACAGATAATTTACCAAAATAATCTGTATTGAATTCACCTTCTTGAATAACAACATTATCTAAATGTCTCTTTTGATTAGCCTTCTTCAATATATTTGATTCAATGGTATATTCACTAACAAATCTATAAATATGAACATCTCTTGTTTGACCAATACGATGACAACGATCTTGACATTGTTTATCCATGGCTGGATTCCAATCCGAATCATAAAAAATAACAGTATCTGCACCAGTAAGATTAATACCTAACCCACCTGATCTTGTTGATAATATAAATACTGTGATTTTTGGATCAGAATTAAATCTTTCAGTTAAAATTTGACGATCTTCAATCTTAGTAGCACCATCTAATCTCATATATCTAATACCCATAATATTTAAAAATTGTTCTAAAACATCCAAGACTTTTGTCATTTGTGTGAAAATTAAAGCACGATGACCACCATCTTTTAATTGTTGTAATAATTTTGCTAATTTCTGTAATTTACCACAATCATATAATAATAAATTTTTATCAGGGAATTGAATTGATAATTTAGTTTGTAATTTATGAAATGGATTTGAAATCTTATTATCATTTGAAATTAATTCTTGTTCTAATTCTTTTGTAACTGATAAATGTTTCATATTCATAGTAACAACAGCAGGTGTAACAAATGCAAATCTATCAATTTCTTCCTTCATTGATAAAATTCTAGTTTCTAAAGGTTTTATATATTCTTCTTGATGAATAGATTCTGTTTGAACTGGTTCAAAAATATTCAACATTCTAAGGAAACTATAGCCATGAATTGGTACTCTATCAGTTCTTAATTCATTTAAATAAAGTGTATGTTTCAATTTTTCTAAAAATTCCAATTTATTTAAACGTTTTGAATATTTATAAAATTCTTTAATATCAGAATAATTTGATTCAACAATATCAGATGATAATGAATCTTCTAAACTTTTGATTTGCTTTATAAGTGATTCTTGAATACTTGCTTTTTGAATAGATGATCCTTGATGTCTTGTAAATTCATATTCAAAAGTTGTAAAAATTAAATTAACAACTTTTAAATCAATTTTTTCATCATTATCTTTTAAATGGAACAATTTCTCCACTATAGAATTTGTAACTTCATAATTTGTTGGAATTGCCTGTGAAATGGCAAATGATGTAGTAATTGGTCTTTCTTCAAATAAATCTGGATGATTACAAACTTTTCTTAATTGCATCAATGCATTAATAATTGAAATATAATTTGCATTTTTCAAAGTTTCTCTTGTATCACTTCTTGCCAAATATTCATGATATAATTTATATTGTCTCTTGGATAAACGACAATAAACAACATGTTCATGTTTAGCAGGCATTTGAGCTTCAACATCTGCTTTTAAACGACGTAATAAATAAGGTCTAAGGACTTGATGTAATTTATGAACAGTTTTTTTAGTTTCTTCATCAACTTCTGAATTATCACCACCTTCAATGATTTTATCAACTGGTTTACCAAACCATGTTTGAAAATCATCCAAGTTTGCAAAGCCTGATGGCATGGCTTGATTAACTTTTGAAGAAGGCATCAAGAAATATAATAATGACCATAATTCCATGATATTATTTTGTAATGGAGTACCTGTTAATAATAATCTATTTTCTGTATTGAAATTTAATAATGCATTCCAACGATTAGATTTAAAATTTTTGATATTATGAGCTTCGTCTAAAATCATATATCTCCAACGTTTTCTTCTAAAAATTTGATGATCTTGAACAACTAATTGATAAGAAGTTATACAAACATGGAAAGTATCAGGTTTATTCCAACCTTTTCTTTTATCTTTTCTTTGTTGAGGTGAACCATAATAAACTAAAACTTTAAAACCTGGAGCAAATCTTTTAAATTCCATTTCCCAATTTAATAAAACAGATGTTGGAACAACAATTAAATGTGGACCCCAAATTTCTTTATAAACAGCTAAATAACATAAAAGAGAAATTGTTTGAATTGTTTTACCAAGACCCATTTCATCTGCAAGAATACCATTGGTATGATTATTATATAAACTTGCCATCCAATTTAAACCTTGTTTTTGATAAGTTCTTAAATTACCTCTTAATAATAAATCAGGATTTGGTACATCAACAACACCATCATTTGGTTCAACAGAAGTTGATCTTGATTTTTTAGTAGATTCTTCAACTTCTGTTTTATCAATAACATCAGGTGTTGAACTTGGAGTGGAATTTTCTTTAGTTTCTTCTTCATCTTTTTCATCATCTGCATTAGATTCTTCATCTTCTTCAATTTTTTCATTATTATCTGAATAAGTTGCACTTTCATCATCACTTTCTTCTTGTTGAGGAACTGAACCAAATAATGAAGCTAATCCACTTGGTTTACCATCATCTTCACTAACTTCTTCATCTGATTCTTCTTCACTTGATGATTCGTCATCTGAATCTAATGAATCATCACTATCCAACATCGAGTCTGATTCTTCATTAGCTTGTTTTATAGCTTCAAGTTCTTTTTCAGTTAATTCTGGTTGAACAATTTCAGTTTCTTCTTCTTCTTCTCCTTCCTCTTGTTCTTCTTCTTCTTCTTCACTTTCTTTTAAATCTTGTAAATGTGCATATTTAGCTCTTAACTCCTCCACTGTCAAATTAGCATCTTCTTCATCATCAGGTATATTAACTTCATTTTTAGCATCATCATCTTCATCACTCAACATTTCCACATCATTATCAGCATCATCTTGTTTAGTCATTTGAGCTTCTAATAATTGAGTTGAATGTTCCAACATTTGACTTAAATGTTCTTTACCTTTTATACGTCTTAATTCTTCAGCTTCTTGATTTTTTAAAATTTTATAAGCTCTTTCAGCCAACATCCATCTTTTTTTAACAACTTGTACAGCATTTCTTGCCAAAGTTTTAATACGTCTTTCTTCTTCCTTTTTAGCTCTTTCTGCAGCACCAGCAGCTCTTTTAAAATGAACTTCAATCATATTAGCAATTTTTCTTGCTCTTTGGATACGTGATTTTCTTGAATTTTCAAAAAGTTTAGACATATGAACAGCTTGACCAACTAAATGATCATTATGAGTATGTTGATTTAATAAAGGATTTCTGAAAGGGAATGGAGGTGGAACTTTATGGAAATTGAATTCATTATCAATAGTTAAGACATTATTATCAACAGCTTTTTGGATTTTGGTAATTAATGATTGTTGTTCTGAGATATGTTCATTGTATTCTTCTATTGTGATATCTTCATCTAATGATTTATAAGATTTTAAAAATTCATCAAGTGAATTGAACTGTGGTTTGGGGATATGATCAGGATTTGTGATTAAAGGTTTTGGTAATGAAAATTTAAATTTAACTTTGGGTATTGAATCATTAGGGAAAAAAGGTGGTGGAGTTTCAATGTCAAACTCTGAATCTTCATCACTTGAATCTTGTTTGATTTCAACATCTTCACTATTTTGATCTTCTTCCTCATCTTGTTCTTGCTCAATTGGTTCCTTTTTGATATTTTTAGAACCAGGTTTTCTTCCACGTTTCTTTGGTTGTGGTGAAGGTTGTGGTGAAGGAGATCTAGGTTTTCTCCCTCTTCCTCTTCCTCTTCCTGTTGATGATGGTGGTTGTGATGGAGATGACAGTGATTCATTTTCTTGCTTTATTTTTGATTTAGCTGGTGATTCTATGGGATGTATAATGATTGATTTACCCTTTCTTTGAGGTTTATGTTCTTTAGTTTGTTCAATAAGGAAATTATCTTCATAAAATTGAGAAGGATTAAATAATTCAGGATCATATTGAATACTTAATTCATCAATTTTTTGTTTTAATGGATCAATTTGTTGAACCCTTGAACTATGTCTTGATTTTCTACCATTGGGTATTGATTTTTGATCTTTATTATTATTATTCCAAAGATCATAATCCTCTTCAACAAAATCATGATAATATTTTGATGGTTGAGAATCAGGATCCCAAGTTGCTAAAGAGGTAAATCTTTTCAAATGGAATAATTCTTCAGTTAAAAGCGAATGTTTTGATGATAAATATGCTAATTGATCTATACCAGATAGATTTTGAATATTTTTTTGATGAGATTTCAATGATCTAGAATCTTCAATGAAGTTTGAATCTTTAGTTGATTTAATTATTTGATTTGAATTAAGCCCATTATGTAAATGTTTGTCACTTTTTTTAGATGATTTACCATTTGGTGTTGAATTTGAACTCCCATGGTTATATTTCCTAGCTAATGAATAGTTTATATTACTTCTCCTTCTTTTACGATCTTGAAGTTCATCTTCTTCTTGATCATCATGATCATCATCATGATTTGGTGTTTTGATTTCCGATTCATTAGAAACTTCACTATGACGACGTACTCTACCACTAGCTCTTTTATTGCCAGGAGTTGAAGATCTTGACATTGTGCCTTTTGATTCCTTGTCTTATATGATGTGTTGTATATGTAGTTTAAGAATAACCGCCAATTTCACACACACAGGTCCGATTGTTTTTAGTGATGATGGGTCTCCCTTTTGAATGGTAAATTGATATGTACAAGAAAGGATATGCCCACTTTTTCTTTGGATTGAACAGCTAGAAATGAATGTAGCAATGGATAGTAATTGAACAAAAGTAACAAACAAGAACCTAAATAAAACCCTTTGAATCAATGTTTTCTAAAGTATTAAAACACTGATAATTTGACAATTGAACAATTTCCTTCCACTAAAAAAACAATCGCGAATTTTTAATTTCCCACTTAAAAAAAAAATCAAAAAAATTTGCCTTCGAATTTTTGAATTTTTGAATTTTTGAACGCGATTTTGTTTGTTGCGGACACGAACGAATATGGATTTTGATAACAATATTATAATGAAAGGGAAGGAAGAAGAGAAGTATCATATTATTGTTGTTGGTGGTTAGTGTTTGTTTGTTGTATTTTGTATTGTGAACTTTTCTCTGTGGAATTGTTGACTGGAATATGCGTTATCTAGTTGTATAATTGGATACACTTCTCAATTCAAAATGGTTCTCTTCAGGGCAATATATAGTACCAAAAACTTGAATGAATAGTAGACACTCAAATGAGGTGTACATGTCAGATACATCAGATTCTTCACAATGTATTCATCTTTGAATGCAATTTTCGTCTGTGTACTTGATTCTGTGCTCAAAATATCACGTACCCAATACTAAAATAATGTGTCAGAATATTTGTACTTTTTCATGAATCGTTTTGGCACATTTTTGAAAAAAAATTCAAGATCGCTTTAAAGTATGAGACATAAACAATTTTGAAAACCAGCATCACAACACATTCACAACCCAAACAACAAGATATATATTGAATGTTCACAAATGCATCGAGTGTACTACGAGCTGTAATACATCCAGCTATACCCACTCTTCAATATCAATGTCTTATAAGATCTTTTGGAACTTTTGGAACTGAAGCTGTATTTTTATCGGGTTTACCACCAAATATTAATCAATTCCAATTGAAAAAATTTTATAAATATAATACAACTGGTTTAAAAGATGTTCAGATTTTCAATAATTCACCTATAGGTAAATCTCAAACAACTGGATTACTTTTATATTATAAAAAATCTCAAGCTTATGATGCTATTAAAAAATTAAATAATGTGGAAATTTCACCTGGTTATCCTGTTGAATTAAAATTAAAACCAATTAAATTTAATAATTCAAATAAATTACCTCATTTAGAATCAAATAAAACCCCAATTCAAAATTATAATGAAAAATTACATGGGAATGATATAGATGTTACCCAAAATACCAAAACAAATAATACAGATCAAAATACAACATTATATATTACAAATTTACCGAAAAATATAACTATAATGAAATTGAAAAGAATATTTGGTGTCTATGGTATCGTGTTAAACATTGATATTAAAGTTGATTTGGATGAAAGTATTGCAAAAGTTGAATTTAAACATAGTGAAAAGGCAAATGAAGCTAAATTTCAATTATCAAATATTTTAGAAGGGAAAGCTAAAAGTTTATTCAGTGGTAGAGTACCTAAAATTCAATTTGAAATTCAACAATTATTTCAAGATAGAAAATCTATAGATTCAACAAATAATACTAATCCAACAAAGAATTCAAAAATTAATTTTAGTCCAATTTTCAGAAACGATTTTAAAATCAAATCAAAAGAAGAAGAATTATCAGATTCAGAAACTCAAGAACAAAGATTCCCAAGAAGTTTTAAAACTTTATCAAATATTCAAAATATTAATATTCCAAATTTAAAATTAGATTTAAAATTTGAAAAAAAATTCATACCAGGATTAACAAAATCTTTAATTGAAAGAAATAATGATATAATACGGCCTAGAATGACTCAATTAAAACAACCAACTACTTATAATACTTTGAAAGGTCAGATTGATGATTATTATAGAGGTAGGAAATATAAAAATCGTGTTATGAGTCCTGATTTTTATAAATGAAATTAATGAATGAGAACTTGCATTTTGAAACGTGTGTATATAATACGAATAATATAGATTAGCATCATAGACCTTATCATTTAGATTCCCAGAACATCCCTATGAACTATATAATCGTTAAAAACATAATCACCCATTTAAGTAACAATCCACAATGATTCAAGTACTTTATACATAGTTAATATTCACTTATACCAATGACAGTTTATTTTCGCGTCAGGACGGGGCTGATAACCATTTGGAAAAAAAAGCCAATTTTAAACTGGGGAAGTTGACCACAAGCAAAACATAAAGGAATAGTAAAATAAAGATCTTGATATTCATTCCCATTGGAATAACACTAGAACAATGTTGGGAATCAGATCATCATTCAGACAAGCTTCTATAATCAATAGATATGGATCATTGATAAGATTTAATAGTTCTTTACCTTCCAAATCTTCCTCAAATTCATCCCCTAATGAATCATCATCAACAACAACAGAACCAGAAGATTATACTAAAACTAGATCAATTGATGAAATCAGATCAGCAGATTTCACTCCAGAACATTATCCAGATGTCAAAAGAGAATTATATCAACATAGAGACCCATATGAAAATTGGGATGATGTTCAAAATAGAAGAAATTTTAATGAACCATTACATCCAGAATTTGAAGCTTTATCAATGTGGTCACCAGATTATTATAGTCATGTTTCGGATTGGACTGCTGTTAAATGGAATTTAATGTATTTTAGTTGTTTTGGGATATTAAGTGGGATTATTTATTATTTGTTTCCTCCTGAAAGAATTAGTGTACCAAGAAATTATCCTCATAATGGATTAGCTAAAGCTTTTGGTGCAAGAGATGAAGATGAAGCTGTTTTATATGGTGCGAGAGTTGATAAATCTGCTTCATGATTAATCTTATTTATTTATACTATTTATTTATATACTATTTATTTGGTGTTCATACACCTTTATTTATTCAAACTATTTATTATGACACATGTCAATATACATTATTTATTACATTATCGTAAGATATATATATATGCGTATATGTAATTATATGTAATTTAAATTATATAAACTAAAACTAAAACTTAAAGTACTTATAAATAAATTATATGACAAAAATAAAGTTTTATAACTAAATGATAAAAAAGGACATTAAAAAACTTTTATATAAAGAATAATGTTTTGCAAAAAGAAAAAGAATTAATATATATGGAAAAATGAGAATGAAATGATGATTAATTTTTTTTAAAAAAAACTTGATAAACAATAAAAGATAACAACTTGCATAACAAAAGTATTAAAAAACATTGATTTAAAAGAAGAAGAAATCATAAAAAAGGACAATGGGAGGTGGGACGTTTAGGCAAAGATATAACCATTTGCATTTGAATCAATGGTATCTAATCTTCCATCTTTTGCAGCTAAATATAATTCATTTAATCTTGATTGATCAGCTGAAGAAATTGGTTCACTTTGATCTTGATTAAATTGATTTGAATTTTGAATTTGATTAATTCCAAAATTTCCAAATGTTGGTTGTTGAACTTGTTGTTGAAGTTGTTGTTGTTGTTGTTGTTGAACTTGTTGAGGAACTTGTTGGAAACCTTGTGGTTGAACAGTTTGATTAAATTGATTTGGAAATTGTGGTGATGGATTATAACCATATAATAAAGGTAATTCAGGTTGTTGTTTATAACCTTGAGGTTTTGGATTAGAATTTGATCTACCCCAACTTAATCTAATTCTTGAATTACCAATTGGATAACCTTGCATCTTAGAAATTGCTAATTCTGCAGAAGATCTTGTAACATATTGAACAAATCCACAACCTTTCCCTACTGGAATTTTAACATATGTAATATCACCAAATGGTTGGAAATATAATCTTAATTCATCTTCTGTTACGATAGAAGATAATCCACCAATAAATACTGTAGTATTATTTGGATCTGTAAATTGAGTTAATGGAGGTTGATATTGAGATTCTAAACCATTTAAGATTTGTTGAGATGGACCTGATGATGATGGGATTGAAGATTGTAAAGGTTGTAAATTATTATTAAATCTTGATCCATTGAAACCTTGATTACCATTGAATCCACCACCTTGTTGTTGACCTTGTTGTTGTTGTCTATTTTTTGGAACAGCAGTTGAAACTCTAATTGGACGACCATTTAAAATAGCACCTTGCATTTCAACCAATGCTCTTTTTTGTTCTAATTCATTTATAAATCTAACAAAACCATAACCTTTTGAACCACCAGTTAAAGAATCAATCATAATCTTTGTACCAGAAACTGAAGGATATTTTGAACCAAAATATTCATAAAGAATAGTATCAGAAACATCTGGAGCTAAATCACCAACAAAGATAGAAACTTCATTACGATTATAACCTATTGAACCATTATTGTTATTGTTATTGTTATGATTATTTGAATTTTGACCACCACTTGCCCAATTTAATTTTAATGATTTATTTGTATTTGGAATTTTTAATCCATTTGAATTAAGAGCATTTGAAGCTTGTTCAATATTTGGAAATTCAATAAAACAATAACCAGCATTATTAAAACCTTGTTGAATTTTTTCCTTAATTAATTTAACATTAATATTATTAAAACCTAAAGATAACCAAATTGATTTAATTGAATTTTCATCCCAAAATGGATCTAATTCACCCATCCATAATTGGGAACCATTGGACCCGTTGGAACCATTGGATGGTTGTTGTTGTTGTTGGTATGAGTTTAATGAAACAGCAGGGGATGCAGATGAAGGATATTGATTATAACCTTGTTGTTGATAGAATGACATGACTTAATTAAACAATGGTAAAGAAAGTAATAAACAAAATAAACGAATTGTATGATGTATAAATGTAGAAAAGACTAATATAATTTTGAATTGAATTGAATATAATGTTGTTTTTAAATCTTTTTTTTGAGATGTTCTTGTTTTGAATTGAATTGAATTTATCTTATATAAAACAAAATGATTATAACTTTAGCAAAATAAGGGAGAAAGAAATCAATGTGAAAAACCAAAACTAATCAAACCGTTACAAAAAAAACAAATGAAAACAAAGAGATGAATGTGTGTGTGTCTATGGAGTGTGTTTCTTGTATGAAAATACCTTTTTTTTGGCTTCTTTTTGTTGTTATTGATTGATTTGTTACCTTTTTGCCTTCAGATCAATATGGAGAACAATTGGAAAAAAAGATCAACACAAATTAAAGGGTTTCTGAAAGGGAGATATGAATTCAATTGAAATGAAAAGCTTTTTGAAATCAAATTCGAACTGAACAGAATTGGAAATCAAATGATAATGCAGAAATGAGAAAGATCAGTGTTTAAGTTCAAAGATCTTTTGTTTTAATTGAATTGTTGAATTGTTGATTGTTGATTTAATTGTTAAGATTTTATTACAAATGTTAAAATTTTTCTTATACGGCCGTGATTTTTAAAAGGTTGTTGCGCGCTGGACGGAAGTTGGGAAGGGATTTGGAAAGGAGTCCCGGTGGGTGGTAGACAGACTAGGCAGAGACAATTGATCGTGTGAGTCAGAGATTAGACACTGACAGGCAGGGAACTAGAAGGAATATAGACAGAGCGTAGAAAGAATAGAAGGGAGTGGAAGGAAAGAATAGAAGGATTAGAAAGAGAATTTAATTGGCGTTACACACTTGTCTTTTGAGTTATTTAACAAGTTACAACCGATGGGACCGAGTGGAACAAGAAAAATTGACAATTGGAACAATTGTATAAATATCAGACCCATTATAGCTACGTAACGGTTATCATAACAGACATAGTCTCTTTTAACACAATGATACAATATTCAATGATTATTTCATTATTTGTTAATTGTTGATGTTTAATTGATGTTTTGTTGAGTTACTCTTTCCGGCTCGTATAGTTTATATCGATGATCCGTTTAATAATAACCGTGAATTTGTATTACAGCGTATAGCATATAAAGGGTAGATACTAGAGTCGCTTAAGATCTAGATATTAGTGATTATAATGTATGACACAGTATTGCATACCATTATTGCCCATGTCTAATCTATCAACTACCAGCTACTACCCTCCACAATTAACCATAATCAAATGCTCTTCGCTTATTCTGATCCAGGGATCCTCATCAATATCAGTCCCTTGAAATCCGAATATATAATGACACGTTGAATCAATGACAGATTGTGGGACCAAAGTATTATGTAATATAATTTGCTTATGTGCCACCAACGTCCCGGATGCTCGTTTTTTTGTATGGAAAAATTCCGATCGCTAACAAAATTTCGACAGACCTCCAAATTTTGGCCCAAATTTCCAGATTTGAGACAAAAATTTGCCAGAACACGACAAATGTATATAGACAATAGAAGATATGAATTTAAATAGTAGTATTAT